ATGCACTCAGAACCTATGAGGTGAGTCTCTTTTCACCAAAGCACTGTGCACCTTTCTTTCTGGTGATTTTAGGTTGTTTTCTGAAACGGGTGAATTTGTGCATGGGCCCTTTAAGAGCCGGTTTTAATTTCTTTGTGAACCAGCTTTTCTGGGAGTACTCCGCAATGTTTTAGTAGCAGGCCAAGTCAGATATTATGCCATTCGTCTCAATTGTGCTGGGTCCACAAAATGCCTATGGTGGGAGTGCTCCTGGCTCAGGGCCCTGCTCCTCCAGGGAGGGCTGCGGAACTTTGGGCTGCTCCCAGGCCGACTGTGAAGCTGGCGGCTTGTGAATGCGGCGTTTTTCCTCTCCAGAAGGGAGTTTCTGTCTCTTCCACCTCAATTAGGATTGTCCTTTGTTGCAGGAGTTCCTCTTATCCAGTTTTCAGTTCTCTCTCAGGGGTAATTTTTCCATGAGTAGTTTTTAAATTGGCTGTGTCCACGGGAGGAGGTGAGTTCAGAGTGTGCTTATGCTGCCATCTTGACTTCTCTCCCCCTTTCCCCTATTGAATGGTCTTGACACCCTGTTGAAAATCAGTTGACCATAAATATGAGTGTTTTTCTGGACTCTCAATTCTATAACGTTGATCTGTATGTGTATCCTTATGCCACTGTCACACTATTTTGATTACTGTAGGTTTGTAGTGATTGTTGAAATTGGGAAGTGTGACTCCTCTAATTTTGTTCTTCTTTTTCAAGATTATTTTGGCTATTTAGGGTCCCATGCAATTCCATATGAATTTTAGGATCAGTTTATCCATTTCTGCCAAAAAAAACAGTTGGAATTTTGGCAGGGATTGCATAGAATCTGTAGATTAACTTGGGGAATACTGCCATCTTAACAATATTTTGAGTCTTCTAATCTGTGAACATGGAATGTTCCATTTATTTAGGTCTCTTTTAATTTCTTTCAACATCATTTTATAGCTTTCAGTGTAGAAGTCTTTACACATCATTGGTTAAATTTATTCCTAAGAATTTTGTTTTTTTGATGCTATTGTAATGGAATTTTCTTATTTTCCTTTTCAGATTGATCATTTAATATGTAGAAATAGAACTGATTTTTGTATGTTGATCTCATATCTTGCAACTTTGCTGAATTTATTTATTATCTCAGTTTTGGGGGGCAGTAGGTCTAGATTCTTTAGGGTTTTCTCTATATAAGATCATGTCATCTTTGACTAGAGATAGTCTTACTTCTTTCTTCCCAATCTAGATGATTTTTTTTTCTTTTTCTTGCCTAATTGCCCTGGCTAGGAATTTCAGTACAATATTAAATAGAAGTGGTGAGAGCAGACATCCTTGTCTTGTTGCTGATCTTAGGAGAAAAGCTTTGTCTTTCATCTGTAAGTACGATGTTTACTGTGGCCTTTTCATAGATGCCCTTTATCAGGTTAAAGAAATTCCTTTCTATTCCTAGATTTAAAAAATTGAGTGTTTTTGTGGTGAAATGGTGTTGGCTTTTGTCAAAAGCTTTTTCTGTATCTATTCATATGATCATGTGTTTTATTTCTCTTTGTTCTATTAATGTTGGATATACAGTGATTGATTTTTATGTTGCACTACCCTTGCATTCCTGGAATAAATCCCAGTTGCTCATCGTGTATAATCCTCATGTGCTGCTGGATTTTGTTCGCTAGTATTTTGTTGAGGATTTTGCATCTATATTCAGAAGGGTTATAGGTCTTTATTTATCTTGTGGTGGATTAGTCTGGCTTTGGTATTAGCATACTACTGGCTTCATAGAATGAGTTAGGAAGTGTTCCCTCCTCTTCTATTTTTTGTTAGAATTTAAAACGAATTGGTCTTGATTTTTCTGTACACATTTGGTAGAAATCACCAATGAAGCCTTCTGGTTCTGGGATTTTTTTTTTATGGGACATTTTTAAATTACTAACTCCATTTCTTTACTTGTTATAGGTTGAGTCAGATTTTCTGTTTCTTCTTGAATCAGTTTTGGTAGTTCGTGTGTTAATAAGAATTTGTCCGTTTCATCTAGGTTATTTAATTTATTGTAATATAATTGTTTATAGTATCCCTTAATAATCCTTTTTATTTCTGTAAGGTTGGTGGTAATGTCCTCTGTTTCATTCTTGAGTTTAGTAATTTGAGTCTTCTTTCTTCTTGTCTTGGTCACTCTGCTGTCAGTTTGAAATTTTGTTGAAAGAATCGACTTTTTGTTCTTTTTTAATTTTTCTCTATTATTTTTATATTCTCCGTTTCATTTATTTCTGCTATAATCTTTTCTTCCTTCTGCTTAATTTAGGTTTAGTTTCCTTTTCTTTTTCTCTTTTCTTAATGTGAAAGGTTAGGCTATTGATTTGAGAGCCTTCTTCTTGTTTTTTAATGTAGATGTTTACAGCTAGAAATGTCCCCTGAGCACTGCTTTCACAGCAACACAGAAGTTTTGGTATGTTGTCTTTTCATTCATCTTAAAGTATTTTATAATTTCCCTTTTGATTTCTTCTTTGAATCACTGTTATTAGGACTTTGTTTAATTTCCATATAATTATGAATTTTCAAAATGCCCTTCTGTTAATGATTTCTATTTTCATTCCATTGTGGTTGGAGAACACAATTTGTCTGATTTCAGTCTTTTTAAATACATTGAGATTTGTTCTGTAGCCTAGCATGTGATCTGTCCTGGAGAATGTTCCATGTGCACTTAAATAGAATGTGTTTTCTTTTATGGAGTGGTGTGTTCTATAGATGTCTGGCAGGTGTAGTTGGTTTATAGTGTTGTTCAAGTATTATATTTCCTTTTTGATATTCTATCTAACTTTTCTGTGATTTAAAGGATGGTATTGAAATCGCCAACTATTAACATTTAATTGTCTATTTCTTCCTTCCTTCAGTTTTGTAATGTTTTGCTTCATGTATCTTCCTGCTGGGTTTATCCTTTCATCATTATAAAATGTCACTCTTTGACTCTTGTAACAATTTTTGTCTTAAAGTCTATTTTATCTGATAGTAGTATCGCTACTCCAGCTTTCTTATGGTTGCAATTTTCATAGTATACCTTTATCCATCCTTTGACTTTCAACCAATATTTATTTTTGCTGTTTTCTTTTAGTAGCCAATAATTATTGAGTGATTGCTGTATATAAAGGTAAACCTATTTATCTCTGCTTTTCCTATTACTTAAATTTCCTTTCCCTGTACTACTTCTAGTAGTAGGAAAAGTTATAGCATAGTCTTGATGTTTAAGAAAAGAAACTATGGGAAAACTCATGCATGGCATGTCATGTAATTAATGTGAAAGAAGTCCATAATTTTAAAGGAATCTGGTTGAGCCCGTAGACTTAATACTTACAGTAGTAACGACATTTAAATATTTGTGGGTGTTCTAACCACTTTCAGTTTATAAGACACTCCCATACTCTACTGGGAACATAACCTAGGTCCATCCCTGGGCAGTATTATCTGTGGTTATGGTACCAGGTTGATAGTGGTGGAAACCAAGGCTTGGAGCTCTCAAGAGTCATGCTCAAGCTCTGGGACTCCCTGTACCATGTGGTCATCTCCAGCAGATCTGGGCACAAGCCCCAGCTCCATTAATCCCCGGCTCACCTGTGGGCCCATGTCCACCTCACCACTCATCTTCTGAAGGAAAGTGAGCAGAATTCATTTCATTTAAACCTTCTACATATCTTTTTCTTCCTTCTCTAAGTGATTCTCAGAGGCCTTAGAGAGGCCTGAAGGACCAAGACAAGGGTACTCTGCTCGTGATGTGACTTCCCTGAGCCATGAAGTGGCTGCTGTATTTTGTTACTAAATGTGCTCCCCTTGCTGTCCCCCCTTCCCGTTTTAGAGAGATGGGACCATATCACCACCACAACCAAGAGACCAGGAACAACCAGAGCTCCGGCAAAGCCTGCAGGTAACACAGCCGCTCTGATGAGGGCCGTAAGGAAGGACCCCGTGGAGCTCCCTCTGGGGTAATGTCCAGATGAGCTACCTAGTTTAACTAATTGACTTTCTTTATTATGTTTTGGGGCCCCCTGAAGAAAATGATTTTGACTTGGCTGATGCTGTGGATGATCGAAATGATCGAGATGATGGCCGCAGGAAACCAAGTGCGGGAGGAGGAGGTAGGTGATGGCTGGTTGAAAGCACTGACCAGCAGTGTAGCTCCCTGGTCAGGTTGTAGCTTGTTTAACTACAACAGCCCACAGAGCCACTCTGTCCTGGCAGAGCTGGGGGCACTTCAAGGCACAGGAGAACCCTAAAACAGTGGTTCTCAAACTTTCTGGTCTCAGGACTCCCAAAATTATTGAGGATCTCAAGGGCCTTTTTTTATGTGGGTCATATCTATCAATATTCATCATCTTTGAACGTAAAACTGAAAAAAATATTTAAAAAGAACAATAATAAACCCATACACATTAACATAAATAGCATATTTTTATGAAAAATTACTGTTTGGCAAGACAAAACAAAATTTAGTGAGAAAAGTGGCATCATTGTACGTTTTTTCAAATTTCTATAATGTCTATCTTAGCAGAAGGGCTAGAGTGATATCTGCTTCTGGATTCAGTTATTGTGGTTGAAGTCTATGAAGAAAATCTGGCCTGATAAATATGTGGTTAAAAAAGGGAAGAATATTTTAATAGATTTTTCAGATCTTTGTAGACATTCTTCTCTGATAAGACACCCAAATTTGACCAGTGGTTGTTTCTTTCTTAAGTGCAGTGTGTAATGTGAAACCATATCAATGAGCTTTCTATACTTGATTCCATTAAACTCCACAGGGCTCTCTTATATTTTCAATGAACTTTTACCCATTCATGGTTTTGTACATTGTGCATTGGTCATTTAGAAAATATTGGTGTCCTGAGGTCTTTTGAACTTCCAAATAATGCCACATATCATTATGCAATACCCCAAAATCACATTTGTTAATATCACCACCGATCTCACTAGAAAAAGTCTGTAAGTATTGGCAAGCTGTTAAGCTTATAGTAGTGGATATAGATTTTTCAAAATTCTAATTTTTGTTTGAAATCTTATCATTGGCAACAAATAGTGCCAATAGTTTTCCTTGAAGTGACAGCCTCATTTCATTCATTTTCAAGAAAACATCTGCCAAATGTTCAAGCCACCATAATCGTAGTTTGACCATCATTCATTCCTTCTAGTAAAGGTGGTCTTCTATGACACAAAGCAGCTAATACAACTTAGAACTGAAACAGTCACCCAAGTGCTTTGTTAAGTCAACTATAGCACTTTGGAGTACAACAGAAATGCTTTAGGCATACTTCTCCTTTCGTCACACAGGATAGTAAAAGATGTGTACTCAATGGTTGAGCTATAATAAAATTAACTTTTCTGTTTCCTTTTATTCGTTTTCTATTGCTGTATAAAAAGTTATCACAAACCTAGTGACTTAAGACAATACGCATTTACAGTTTACAGTTCTCTTTGGTGAGGAGTTCAGGAACACGTAGGCTGAGTTTCTGTTCAGGGCCTCCACAGCTGCAGTCAAGGTGTCCACCAGATCTGGGGTCTCATCTGAGGCTGGGTTCTCTTCCAAGTTCATGTGGTTGTTGGCAGACGACATCTCCTTGCAGTTGTAGAACTAATGGCTGCTTGCTTCTTCAAGACCGGCAGGGGAGAGGCAGTGGGGGAGATGGGGGAGAGGAAGACTAACTCTGTTGCTTCTAGTGTCTGAGCTCAGGAATTCTTCACCCCTGTTTTAAAGGGCTCACCTGATTAAGTTTGGCTCACCCAGGATAATCTCCCTTTTGATTAATGCAAAGTCAAACTGATTTGGTACCTTAATTACATCTGCAAAATCCCTTCAATTTTGGCATGTAATATAACCTAATCACAGGATCATAGCCATCCTATTCATGGTCCTGCTCACACTCAAAGTGATGGGATATACAAGGCGTGGACACTAGTGGGGGAGAAGCCTAGGGGTCCTTTTACAATTTTGCCTACTGCATTCATTGAGGACGTTCTTAAGTGGCAATCATTTTCTGGGGATATTGGACAACATTAATTAACACAAGTTTCTTGTCGCTGAAAACTGTTTTTTGACACTGAAATGTTCTTTTCTCCAGGTTTTTCAGACAAGGATCTTGAAGACGTCTTAGGGGGTGGTGGATACAAACCTGACAAGGGCAAAGGTAGGAGCATTGATTTGTCCAAACACCTTATTCTCACTAAGAACGTGGTCACACAGTAACCAGATTGATCGAGCCATTCTTGCTCAGCCTCTGGGAAATGAGATAGTTCCCAGACATCTTGCTTGCAACTTGGGGTTCACTTGGAATGATGTGGGCTGTGCAGCTCAAGACGGGGAGATTTATAAGCCAATTTGGAAAAGCCACACATTTCCCCTGACGTTCTTTAAGCCAGGGTGCTGCCTGGGTTAATGTCTCCATCCTAGCAGAAGCTGGTTTTCGAGGCAGTACCACTTACAGTAACTGAGGGTCAGGGGACTCACTGGGAACAGCCTCCCTAACCTGGGGGTCCTGTCACCCTTGGGATGGGAGGAGCAAAACTCGTGACAAAGAGACCCATATCAAGACAGGCATCTTTTAAAATATATTTTGAAATAGTTTAAAACTCACAAGAAGTTGTAAAAATGTTTAGGAGAATTCTTGTGTACCCTTCACCCAGCTTCCCCTAATGATAATCACCTTACATAACCATAGTACATTGTCAAAACCAGGACACTGACACTAGCACAATACTGTTATCAAGTCACATACAGACCTTATTCAGATTTCATCAGATTTTGCATGCACTCGTGTGTGCGTGTATGTGTACACATGCACAAGTGGGTCTGTGAAATGTTATCATGTGTAGATTTGAGTAACCATGACCACAATCAGGATGCAGAATGCAGAACTATTCCATCACCACAAGGAAACTCCCTCATGCTAACCCTTCATAGTCATGCCCTCCCCAAGGCCAGATATTTTTAGTTCCCCCAAAGCCACCAAAGATTAAACCTGTTATCTTAATACTGTATATGTCAAGATATGATCCTAGTATGGAGAGAATGTTAGCCAGACTTGATGTGGCAAAACAAGTTATGGTTGTAAATTGTGATTGTTACATATGGTTGTAACCTGTTATGATGGTATGTTGTTGTGATTGTAACTTGTGGTTATGATGGTAAGTTGTTATGGTTGTAACTATGGTGATGGTAACCTGTTATGATGGTAAGTTGTGGTTGTAGCATTTTGTGGTGATAACCTGCTGTGATGGTAAGTTGTGGTTGTGATTTATTGTGGTTATGACTGTGACAAGTTTTGAGTGTATCTGGTTGTAACCCTGCTACACTCTCCACAATCCTGGCTTGTGGCACTAGCATTTGCTCCTTTCTTGCAAGAACTGTGTGCTTTACATATGGGAACAGTGTTCTCTCTGATTAAAGGATACTGTAGTCAAATCTGTCCTTCAAAACACCTTTCCAGACAGTGTCATCTTGAGTAAAAAGCTCTGAAAGCCTCTATAGGAAACTCACAGATGTCAGGAGAACATGGAACATTTAAAGGGCAAACCCAGCAAATTAGCCAATTACTCCTGGGTGACAAATGGTATTTCCAAGTGGTGAGATGAGGGCAGTAGTAACGTGTGTAAGCACATGCACGAATGAAAGTCTGAGTGACATGTTGGGGGGTTTCCTTATTAAAAGTACATGTTGAGCAAGGAAGAAGTGTTAGGAAATTCTTTAATTAGGCCCATATTTGAACTTCTCTTGTAAAGAATAATCAATTGATAGCTGAAGTTATACCCTCTGTCATTATAAGTGTCAGTAAAAGAAGATAAAGGAGTTCCAGCAAAAAATACAAGCGTGAAACTGAAACATGGTTATGATAGCACATGATGAAATTCTCAGACACTGTCCTCTATGCACACATGCTAATGCCGTGAGGGAAGATAAAACATCACATTTAAATTAGTGATGGTCTTCAGCATAAACACAATCCTAATTCATTCATTTTCTGACCTTGGGTCTTAGGCACATAGACTCAACTATAGTTTTGGAGTGTGTTTCTGAAATAATTTTATCTTCTATATATATTTTTCTCAATAAAACATTTCTACTGGCCCTGTAGAAGCCCTGTATTTTGTCTGTAGGTGATAGTGACAGTCCCGTCTGTCACAGTCCCATCAGCCTCCTCCATTCCCTGGCACTTTCACTGACTGAGAAACTTGAGGCTGATAAGTTTCAAGTCCTCGTTATCCCCGCTGTGGTCTATGCCCTAGTGTATGCAAGCCTCTACTCCCACTCCCCCAGAGTTATTCTTTGGTCCCCAGTGACTTCTTCATGGTCACAGCCCTCTGTCCCATGTGACCTCTGCAGCATTTGACCTTGATGACCACCTGCTTCTTCACATTCTTTCCTCCTGAGCCCTTCCTGGCACTCTCCCACTTTCTGGGTCTCATTCACATCTTCTTCCTAAACACTGTTGCCTGATGGGTCTGTTTCCTTGGGTATCCAATTCAGCATGTCATTGTCTTCCCCACTGGAAGAGAATGGTATTAGAAACCAAGATCAGGGTGTTGAGTGTGTTCATTACTTAGGGGGGATGTTGCTACTTTTATACCCTTTAAGTGGGCAGAAGTAGGAAATAGGAAGTATATGGATGTGTATACTAAACCATTTATATGCATGTATCTATAATTATTTCTGTGTCTATTCATCAGTATCTATATTAACCTAAACATGAGTTCATACTTATGTCTCCAACTGTAATCCAGTGCCAAAAGGCTTATTTTAGTCTTCCTTTCTTGCTTATCTGTAACTTCCTTCCCTGACAGTGAGAAACCTACCATCCGCCAACCATTTGCTTGCATGCTCAATTCTGGTATACATGTATAACACTATCAGAATTGTTAACCTGTACCCCTGTGAGAAACAACTTCATCAACTAGAGTCCAGTGTTTATGTTTAGTTTCTTTTGTCTTTACCTTACAGTTTACAACGTTTTTCAGAGTTACTTGGGTCAGTTCCTTTATCCCTCCTCATCCATTCAGTACAGTTATGTCATGCATGTATAATGTAGTTAGATTTATTTGTCACAGTCTGCGTTCCGTCCTGGGATCCCCCACCCACCTAGTTGATGTTTTGTTTTGTTCTTTTGCTTGCATACGTGAAAGTTCACTCTTTGTGATATACAGCTGTATGGGTTTTTACAAATGCGTGTAGTCATATCTCCACCACCCAAGTACCATACAAAACAGTTTTGTCACCATAGAAGTACTCTTCAGTACTCAGCCACTCTCCCCTTCCTCAACGCTCACCTAACCTATTTTCTGTTAGTGCAACCACTGCTCTTTCTACCGTCTCCATCGTTTGCCTTTTCCAGAATGTTCATATAGTTGGAATCATACAGTAGGTAGCCTTTTCAGATTGGCTTCTTTCACTTAGTAATATGCGCTTAAGCTTCTTCCATGTCTTTTCATGGCTTGAGAGCTTCTTTCTTTTTAGCGCTGAATCACATTCCATTGGATGTACCACAGATTGTTTACCCATTCACCTACTGAAGGACATCTTGGTTGTGTCCAGTTTTTAATGATTATGAATAAAGCTGCTATAAACATTTACATACAGGTTTTTGTGCAGACATAAGTTTTCAGTTCACTTGGGTAAATACCTAGGCGTATGGTTGCTGAGTCATATGGTAATTCTATGTTTAACTTTACAGTACACTGCCCAGCTGTCTTCTCAAATGGCTGTACCATTTTGCTTTACCACAAGCAATGAATGAGAGTTCCTGTTGCTTCACATCTTTATCAGCAATTGTATTGTCAGCTTTTTTGGGTTTTAAACTTTCTAATAGGTATATAGGGGTATCTAATTATTTCTTTATTTGTATTTCCCTAATGAGAAGTGATGGTGAGCATCTTTTTATATTCTCTTTTTATATTCTTCTTTGGTAAAATCTGTTCAAATTTTTTGCCCATTTAAAAAATTCAATTGTTAGATTTTATGCATTCTTTATAATCTGGATACAAGCCCTTTATCAGGTATATGATTTTGCAAATATTTTCTCCCAATCTGTGCCTTGTCTTTTCCTTTTCTTAATAGTGTTGACAAATAAAAATATTTACTTTTATAAAGTTCAATTTATCAATTTTTTCTTTTATGGATCATGCTTCAGTGTTTAAGAACAACCATGATCATGAAGATATTTTTTCTTATGTCTTCTTCTAAGAGTTTTATAGTTTTAGCTTTTTCATTTAGGCTTTTGCTCCATTTTGAATCAATCTGTATATGGTATGAGATAGGGGTCCAACTTTATTCTTTTGCATGTGGATATCCAATTGTCCTGGCACCACTTGGTGACGAGATTATCCTTTCTCCATTGAATTGTCTTGGCTCCTCTGGTGAAAATCAATTGACCGTAAGTGTACGAGTTTGTTTCTGGACTCTGCTCCATTGATCTTTGTGGCTGACCTTCAGCCAATACCAGACTGTCTCTGCTGGGCATGTGCTCAACTTGAGGGCGACCAATCCTATGTGGAGAGTTTATCAAGCTCCCTATGGTTGTCTCACTTCCCCACCTCTCTGTTAAGTCCCTGGCTAGTTGATTGGTTGGTGGCTTGCTCAGGCTAAAGGAGCTCTTGGCTCTCCCTGTTCACTTGCCACTGAGATTGCCACATTAACTGACAATGCTCCAAGTCAACATGGGTCCACTTTGGCAGCTGCAGTGTGGTTGCTGGTTTTCGTGGCCTGTGCACCCCTGCTGAAAGACTTGGGGGAAGGGGGAATGAGAGCAACCCTGGGCAAAAAGGCCATACACTGCAGATGTTCTCACTGGAACTAAATCTGTTTCCTGAAATGACTGTCTTTGATTGTCCAGGGTTATAGTTACTTTTTGAGGAGAGCGTTTGTTGACTTCCTCACTCCCTCATGCCAGAGATCCTCTCCCCTAGTATCTTTTGAATCTGGAAAATTCTTTCTCTTTGCCTCCCCTCAGGCCTAGGCCCATATCACTTCCCCATGGGTCATTACCTGAACCTCTTAACTGGTCTCCTGGCAACAGTTTGTCTTCCATGCAGCTGCCAGTGGGAGCCATCAGGAACATGAAACTGATTTGTCAGTCCTCTGTTTAAAACTATTGTGTAATAATGAAACGACAGCCCAATTTAAAAATGAGCATAAGAT